ATAAATAGTTAAATATTAGACTTGACTTTTCCTCAAATTGCAAATAAATACACTAAAATTGATGTTCAGAAATACTTCTTTAGAAGTTAGGGTTTTTGTTTTTTACTTGTATTTTGTACAGATGAAAAGAAGAAGTCTAGTCATTCAGAAGGTCCAAGAAAAGGAGAAAGAAAAAAATCATCTAAAACACAAGAAGTATTTTGAAGATAGTGATAGTGACTCTGATTCTGAATCGGACTCCAGGGATAAGAAAGCCATTTTTTTGTGCCCTGTTCTGGCTGATGATTGACCAGAGGTGCCTCCTTTATGGTTGACACATTACACAAAGGTGCCTCTTCCTCTGATTTCACCTGGGATTCTTTTTTTTCACCTGGATTCTTAATCCCCATTGGCACTCTTTATCCTCATTGCTGGAAGATCAAACTGTCTTTTTTTTTTTTTTTTGGTACTGGGAATTAAACCCAAGGGTGCTTTAATACTGAGTAATTTCTGAGTTATATCCCCAGCCCTTTTTATTTCATTTTAAAATTTTGATACAGGGCTTAACTAAATTATTGAAGCTGGCCTCAAATTTATAATCCTCCTGATTCAACCTCCAGTGTCACTGGGATTAGAGGCATATGCCACCATGCCCAGCATGAACTATCTAAAAACACAAATCTGAGCATGTCAGTCCCCTACTGAAAATCCTTCAGTACATCTCCCTAGCCTTCAGGATAAAGTTCAGACCCTGATTGATCCCTCTCTAGTCACATATGCCCTGTCACCCTCTCTTGCACCATTGTCTGTAGCTTGAGAACTACTATCTCCTCAGTATCCCATGTTCTTTCTCTTGACTCTGACATTTACTACAGAGAGGCCCTTTGCCTACAGTGCCAGTCTGTTACTGCATCTAGCTTCACTCACTCATTGCAACCATTGTAATAAACTGATTTTTAAAAGAACTAGCTTAAGAATCATCTTTTCCTAGTCAACCATTTTTCAACCACCTTCCCAAAATCAGTCTAATTTTGAGACTTCTCTGTATGCCCATAGTACCCCAAGCTTCCCTTTGTCACTCTGAATTATATTTATCCCTTTACCTATCTGTCTCCTTCATTACACTCAGCTCCTAGAAAACCATTGCCCTCTTCTGCCACAGGTTTTTTTTTTCCTTTTTATTGTGAAAGTTTCAGTTTTTTAGGAAAGAAAATAGTGCAATTAATACTATATAATTGCCATGCATGGTGGTACTTGCCTGTAATCTCAACAACTTTGGAGGCTGAGGCAAGAGGATGGCAAGTTCAAGGATAGCTTCAGCAACTTAGTGAGACCCTATCTCAGAAGGAAAAAAAACAAACTGGGGTATAGCCCAGTGGCCAAGTGCCCCTAGATTCAATCCAAAGTACAAAAAAAAAAAAAACATAAACTTATCACTAGAGTTGTTAGAATTGTGACATATTTACTTCAAATATGTTTTTTTTTTACTGGGGTAGTCAAAGTGAATTACAAATGTCATCATACTTCAGCTAAATATTTCATATGCATCTCTTTAAGAAAGGACATTTTCTTACTTAAATATCATAACTCACTAAACAATTCCCCATATCATCTAATATCTAGTGTGATTTTCATTTCTATGTCCCTAGTGCCTAACACAGTTCTTGACAAGTAACAATAAATATTTGAATGAATTAATCTCCCTATAACGATGAATGGGACAGCAAAAATCTTCTTAAAGTTAGGTTTTAGGGGTAATATTTCTCAATTACAACATGTCAAGTGAAGATTTTTTAAAAGACAGAAGAAAGCCAAGAAAAAGCAAGGAAAAATGCAGATGGCCAGCCTTTTTTTCTTTAAATTTTATTATAAAAAATCAAATGTATATAAAAATAGAAACTGGATAAGGATCCTCATGTACAGAGTACCCAGTTATCAACTCATGGAAATTACCACCCTCCCCCCGAGTTACTTTGAAACTAATTCTAGGTATTATTTCATTTCTAAACAATTCAGCATATTTCTCTACAAGATAGACATTCTTTTTTAAAGCATAATCACCATGCCATTATCATATCTAAAAATCCCTCAGTTTTGATCACACTTCATTTTCTATTTTTGTTGTTTTCTAGCCAGGAAGTTTCCCATGAGGAAGACAATGTAAAGAAAGCCAAGGACTGACAGCTTCTTTTAAACAATTGATTAATCATTGCAATATTAATTGAGGGATTATCTTCTCATTTTCAGTACCACTAAACCAAAATCCTCCTTTTTAGTGTTTAATCATCAGTGTCCTCTCAAAGAGGTTGAATAAGTCAAAATACATGTGAATGTATAATTATCAGTTCCTTAGATGGGCTGTAGGTGTAATAATATGTTTCCCTGGGCTGGGGCTGGGACTGGAGGGAAAAATGAAGAAGAGCCTTACTCTGGTTTTGATGGAGTTTCTTCTGTTTCCTTTAAAGCAACAGGACCTCTGAGCCAGAATTGCTCCTATTCCTCTACGTCCTCCACAAAATGGGAGGACAGTGAACAGAGGTGAGAACACACCAGATGGATATTTGGCCACCACCTCCTCATATATCCCTATGAATAGGAATTCATATCAGATTCCATTAGAGTCTATAGAATTGTATTTGAGCTCCTAAGCATAAATGAAGGTGGACCATATCTTGAAATACTTTATTCGCTTGCAAGGTATTTCCCTGTCCCATTTTGCACATGTATGTATCTGAGATGTGCAGAGATGGTGACTCAGGAATGTCACCTCATGAAATGAGGCTTCCTAGCAATTCTGTTTGAATGACTTTTCTTTAACAATTTTTATGCATAACCCATTTGGCACAAAACCACAAATATATAGAAAATTTACATCTTTATTGAAAATGTAAAATGTCCTATAAAATAAATGAACTGACTTTTTTGTTTATTCATTTAACAGACATTTGGTAAATTGCTCTTGATGATGTGCTATGCAGAATTTGAATCTGGCAGAAAAACACTTAGGAAAAATTGTCATAAAAGCAGACCCTAGAAAATGGAGGCTACAAAATGAACAGCAATGACAGGGGCCCATGCCAGGCCAAACAAAGCCAAGGCAAAGGAAGGCACAGGCAGAGAAAGCAATAACTGAAAAGGCAGGGACAGCATGGGTAATCTAGATGTCTGGGATACAGTATACCAGAACCCAATTACAATCAAGTTCTAGAAAAATGATGGCATTATAGGGCCCATCCAAGATTATGACAACAAGATGACCCATGACAGTAGGTTGCATATTTCAGAAAACTGAAGCCTTCTGACAACTCTTCAACTTGATCTTAAATTAAACCATCAATGAGAAAAATGATTGGTTTACTATATTGAATAGTTCATTTATTTTTAAAAATTTTTTTAGTTGTAGATAGACACAATATCCCCATTTTATTTATATTTATTTTTATTTGGTGCTGAGGATCGAACGGAGTGCCTCACACATGCTAGGCAAGCACTCTACCACTAACCAAAACCACAGCCCTGAATAGTTAATTTCTTAATAGAAAAATACAACATGCAATTTTATATGCTACTGAAATTTTAAAACACATGAAGCTATTCAGAAGAAGCTATGGAAGCTATGGAAGAAGCTATTTTTTTCTTTTCTTTTTGCTAAAATATCTTAGGAAAGTTAATACTGCAGAACCCCCTTTAGCTCACCCTTAGTGAGGAAGAACTGTTTGTCCAGCTTTGGACTAGGCTTATGGCTTTATTTCTATCCTCACACTTTCACCATTCTTTCATTTTTAAATATTTTATTACTTATAGATGGACACAATCAATACTTTTATTTTCTTTATTTTTTTATGTGGTGCTAAGAATCGAACTCAGTGCCTCACACATGCTAGGCAAGTGCTTTACCACTGAGCCATAACCCCATCCCCATTCTTTCATTTTTCCCAGGTCTTTGGATGCAAATCTAGCTAATGAACTGCACTGTGCATGTCCTTGAAGTCTATACCATGCCTGGTAACAGGATAAGTAAATGTTAGTGTCCTGAAAGCTGACTGTTAGTTTAGATGTGAAGTGTCCCACAAAAGCTCCTGTATTGATGCAGGAATGTGAAATGATTGGATTGAGAGAGCTGTAATCTAATCAGTCCATCCCTAGTTTGAATGGATGGGTGGTAACTGTGGCAGATGGACCATGGCTAGAAGAGATGGATCACTGGGGCCATGCCCTGGAAGGGTTCTTCTTCCTGCATCCCCTTCTCCTACCTCCCTATACCACCATGAACTGAGAAGTTTTCCTCCACTGGGCCCTTCCCCCATGATATGCTGCCTCACCTTTGGCTCAGAGCAGTCAAGTCAGCTGTCTGTTGCCAATAGAAATGTGGACTATGCTCATGAGGTTTCAGAGGGAGATGAGGACTCTATTGAGAATTGGACCGGAGGCCACTCATGTTATATTCTGGGAAAGAACTTGGGCATGTTTTGCCCATGTCCTAAAACTTTATGTGAAGCTAAATCTAAAGATGATGGACTAATAATCGGTGGAGAAAATTTCAAGGAAGCACAGTAGTCAGTCAGTGACAGGGATATTGCTGAAAGCTTTTAGCCAGATGTACTGTGAGAATTGGGAGCAGAAATCCATGCTGAAGCATTTTAAAACTTACAGTTTGGCCAGAGAAGTGCATGTAAAACTAGGACCAAGGAAGATGTGCTTATTGAAGAGATTACAGGTCCTAAAGAGACACAAAGACAATAGGAAAGAGGCCTCCAGGGCATCTCGGGAATTAGTACAACCACATTAGTACAACCACTGCAGGCTCCAAAATGTAGAAGGGAAAATTCCTTTGAGAAGAGATGATCATGGGGGTGCCCTGTTTGTATGGGGGTGGGAGGGCAGGAAGTTGTTTCACCATACTGAGCTGTGTAGGCACCCAGAGGCCACTACTGCTATGATTTCTTTTTTTTTTTTTAAGTTTCTTTTAGTTGTAGATGGACACAATACCTTTATTGTGTTTATTTATTTTTTTTATACAGTGCTGGAGACTGAACCCAGTGCCTCACATGTGCTAGGCAAGTGCTCTACCACTGAGCCACAACCCCAGCTCTACTGCTATGATTTCAAGAGGCCTAGGTATTGAGTGAGCTGGCAGCAGACCTTGGCGTCATCCATATGGTGCTGGTTCTGAAGGAACACTGGATGCTCAAGATAAGGGATCATGGAAGCTTCCACAGAGATTTCAAAGGAAGGCCTGGGAGGACAGGCAAAGTGTAGCAGGGTCACAATCCCTGCAGGCTGCCTCTGAGAAGCCAATGCATGAAGCTGTGAAGGTGAAACTGAAGCTGGAATGGAGACCCCAGGAATTGAGAGTTGCCAGTAATGTGAACTTTCTGCCAAGAAAAACTGCTGGCTGCAGAGAGAGCCAGGCTGAAAGAGAGCCCATGAGCACTGCAACCAACAAGACCAAAGGGGAAGGCTGCCCAAGCACTTTGGAAATAACATCTCACAGCCAAGTGTCCTAGATGCTCTATGTGAAGTTATGGGACTTGTTTGCCTAGCTGTGTTTTGGTCTCATTTTGGACCCATCCCTTCTTTCTGTTCCCCTATTCCTCCCTTTCTGGATGGGAATGTTTACTATGTGCAACTATATATTGAATGTATGTAACTTTTTTTTATTTTTATAGGGGCTCACAGCCAGCAGTTTGCCTTGAGTATCAGGTGAGATTTTGGACTTGGGCACTCCTAGAACTGTAAAAACTATGGAACTCTTGGAGATGGACTAAATGCATTTTGCACTATGAGTTGGACATGAGCCTTAGGGACTGGGGTGGAATGTTATGATTTGGATATGAGGTATATGCCAAAATTTCTGTATTAATTCAGGAATGTAAAATGATTGAATTGTGAGAGATGTAACCTAATCAGTTCATACTAGTTTGAATGGACTGGGTAGTTGTATGCATATGGGGCATAGGTGGAGGAGGTGGGTCACTGTAGGCATGCCCTGAAAGGATGTGTCTTCCCTGAGGACTCCCTCTGTTTCCTGATGCCCCCTCCATTAACTGAGAAGTTTTCCTCTCCTGGGCCTTTCCCCCATGATGTGCTGCCAAGTGGCCCAGAGCAATAGAGTCAGCCCTCTATGGACTGAGAGTTCTGAAACTGTGAGCCCCAAATAAACTTTTCCTCCTCTTCATTGTTCTTGTCAGGTATTTTGGTCACAGAAACCCAGAAGCTGATTAAAACACTGACTATAAGCTGTCCAGCTCCTCTACCTCCTCATTACTAGGAATAGTGTTACCCTGGTCTTGGGGGAAGCTGACCATTATGAAAAGTCATATTGTTACCGCTGTTGACTGGTGACGAGTCCTTGCTTCCCCGATGTTGAAGAATAACAGCAGAGAAGCACGCCGAGGCAAGGTCAAAGTAGAAATTAGAAGTTCATTAAAGGACAGCAGAAAAGACTTCTCCCGGAGGAAGAAGGGGACCCAAGAGGTGGAATCCGTGGAAGTACGGTTGTCTCCCCTTTTTATAGTTTTGGTAATGGAATGTAGGTTGGAAGGCCCAAGGGGTGGGACACAGGTGGGCCTAATTATCACCTTTTGAGATGGGATTATCACTTCTCTGGGATGGGCTATTTCCAAATCTGTTGGGGCTGTTGGTTAACACTTCTTTGAGGTGGACTTTGGCCTAGGGCCTTTTAAGGACTTCATAAACATTCCATGAGTTGTCCTGTTTTCCCTGAGTCATTCCCAGCATGGCCTCCATCTTAGATTTCACTCGGTATTAGACCCGATTTACCTAACTACACTGACTACCTAACTTTAAATCTGGCTTCATTCCCCCCTCTAATTTGGGAACTCCTTACTGCTGTAAGGAAAGGGGGCAAAGAAGATCTTTCTGGCTTCTTCAGGCTGACAAAAGGGGCGATGTTGGGGCAAGCAGTTTGGAGTCCCCCTTTAAAAATCAGGCCTATCGAGTGGTCCATGATAGGCTGGAGGGCCATTTGAGTGATGGGTGGTCTATAAGAGAAACAAGAATTCATTAGTACTGGAACCATATTGATGTAGCAATAAATCCCATAGCACAGGAATATGCCAATGAGTATGATGGCAAAGACAAAGACTAACAATGTTTACCACCAGGAAGTACCAAGAACCAGAAGCTAAGATATTGTTTCCATGACAAAGTTGCTGAGGACATGGCTTCTATCTAAGCATGTAAATCTTTAAGGATATTTGTCACATTGCCAGAATTGTCAGGGATGTAAACACAACATTTAACTTTTAAGGTTACAGATGTCCTTCACCTTAAGATACAGTTTAATAATTTAATGTCATCTGATCTTGCAAAATCCTTTTACTAGTATGACCTCTGTGTCTAATAGAGAAATCTCTAATTCTGTTACCTAGGGCTGGATAACCATACTAGCAAACACCAAGCCTACCTGTGTAGGTTAGGAATATCTGTGGGCCTTAAACTAAAAACTACTCTGGCAGTTCCTTTTGATAGTTATCAGGCATTCCTACCTAAGAATCTCTTTTGCAGCCTCCAGTTTACTTATTCTTGGAAGTTACATTTAACTATTATTATCATTTAAAAATGCCCAGGAATAGCTGTTTGGGCTTTGACTGTCTTTGCTAAGTGTTTAAGATGAAGCAAGTCAAACTGACTTTGTTTCTATCTATTAACAGTCAGCTGAGTTACTCTGGGAGTCCTTGGGAACTTCACAGCAGCTTCTCAGTTCTGCTAGTGCCATTTGCGCTAGGATGGGTCCAGGCCTTGCTTGACCATGTGGCTTCCCTCGGAAGCATCAGGATATCTCCCTTTTTGATGACCCTCCTCTTCACAGCAAATGCACTGATTGGCTTTCTGTCCTCCACTGGTCTCATTAATCTCCCTGATCAGGATGCAAAGCTCTTTGGAGAAGTCCCCTATCCCCTGATTCAGACTGACTCAGAGGGCAAGAGCCAAATATTGGTTTTCTTGGCCCTTTAATTTAACTTTAATTTTAAAACTTAATCTTAAACATCCAGCAAATAAGTTTCAACAGCCTTATATTAAGAGCACTGGGCTTTAATGTCTATCTCTGTATCCTGTAGGTGATAACTTCTTGTCTTAAATTAACCGAGGTTGTGTGTTCTTAAATCAGTACCTCTGCAAAACATTAACAGGCAATCATTTATAAGAAAACTACAAAATAAAATTATCAAGAGTAAAAACATTTAGTTCATATAATAGCTACCTTGAATTTTGATGGAGTATATCCCCTGTTTGAGATCCTGGCAATCGTGACAAAAAAAACCAACTTTTGGACAAAACTTTAAATGTACTGAAATTTTGCCTACTTCTTTCATAGTCACTTTCACATGTAGTGAGATGGGACATAGAGCCTTATCTCAAGTAAGGCGGGGCTCTTCATAAATCTTAAATACTATATAGTTCTGAAGCTGATCTTTGCTTTTTAGACATCATTTTACAAAGCCTACATAAATTGTTGTGAACTTGAGCAAACACAACATGATATCATGTCTAAAACAAGAATTAAAGAAAGGCTGAAAGCTTTTAACCTTTTGTAGAAAAGTAGCAAAGTACTTTTGTGTTTTGTAATAAAACCTTTACAGAGATTAGGCTCTCATTAACTTAAAAATACATTTAAATTCTATCTCGGTGTAAAAAGTAACATGGAACTTTACATAACTTATTGATAATAAGTACAGTTATAGAACATAAATAAATTTCCAACATGTTTTTCTTTTAAGCCTAAAATTACCATACAATTTTAGAACACCAGCTTGATATAATGCTCTTTTAAAGCTTCTACCTTACAGACTTGTATACCTGGAAGATATGAACACCTCAATGGCACCAATTACATTGATGTTTTTATATTAACCAAGTTTAGCTTTTAAAGAAATAACATAGCACACTTCTCTAAGACAACAGCACTTGTTTAACCAGCTGTTTAATTTCTTTAAGATTACTTGCTCAAAAACTTACACAGACCTTCTTTATATCATTTACTTAAACCCTCTTAATTACTTAATCATATAGACTCTTATCCAGAAATCTAGAACCTTTTAGTTTCTCTTTTTCATCTGTTAACCTCCTTCTGTTCACATTTTGAAACAATACTTGTAAACTTTTGAATTTAAGCAGATTATTTCATAGACATCAACATTTTATTAAGGCCTTTTTGAACACCTAGAAAAACTTATAAGCCTAATTTTAAAGACATCTTTTCTTTCATCTATTTACCAAATTTAAATTGAGCCATTTGAATCACGTGAATCAAAGGTATTTGGATCCATTTTTAATTTTTCATGAGCGATCCTCATCTGTCAATTATCATATCACTGCATGATATATGGACATACACACATAGACATACAACACTTAACACAAGTGTAACACAACACAAAAGGCCTTGCAGCTATCTCAGGTGAAATCTCATTGCAATGTTTAAAAAATCCAGTTGATCAAAAATAGAACTTATCAGAAAAACATTAACTTGTCTGTAGGAACAAAATCATGAGCTCAAAAAAATATAGAATCTAAGAAAAGGCAAAAGTCCTAGAAAAAAATTGACCTGCCAGTAATTACTAAATGCCATACAATTTACTCTTTGGTTTAATCTAGTTTGAGTTCCCATAAAAAGACACTTTTACCCTTTTTTTTCCTTGGCCTCAGATCTGTCTCCTACTGAGTGCTTCAGGCTTCTCCTATTTGCATATCAACTTAAGTCCTGGCTGAGGTCTGGAAGGACCTGGGAAAAACAGAATTCTGAGCAGAAACTTCATGCCTAAGGCATTTTAACCATAAGTCACAATTTTCAGGTTTGGAAGTAGAAATAAGATACAATTTACAAAATTTCATCTTTATATCTTCCTACACTAGAAAAACTTGCTCACATAAAACTGAAAATAGGATCTTTCTTGATAATATAAA